TGTATTAGCCTGGATGTTGACTATGTATATTTTTTTTTACATACCACGTAGGTGGCAAACACGCACACGGCCCATCTGATGGTAAACGGTTACCATAGCCTATGGACGCTGGAAACACCAGGGGTGTCACGTGAGCGTTGCAGATCCTGAAATTATAAATGTGTTTCCAAAAAAATATCTTTAAATATTTCTCGTATGCCCTCAGTTACTAGTATTACGTAATATTATATTATCTGTGCTAGTATTATTCACGCGATATGGTTTCCATTCCATATTAATATCTAATCTGTGATATCCTATTGTCTATTCTACACTAGCGCCAAAAGTACCATAATCTCCACTCATACAAATACGAAATAATGATATTTTACTGAGTAAATGTAATATTTTACTTTGGTATGAGATATGGGTAACAATAAGTATGTGCCTACTATAATATACAAGTGGAAAAAAACGAGCGGGATCCGCGAAGGAATAGCACATTAAATATTAAAGCGTACAAATATTACGGAAAGGAAATAAGTAGTTCTTTATTTTTATATCTAAAAATAGATATATATCGACTCTGGGAGCCACCAACTGTACTATCTATCTAATTATCCTAGCTATAGTAACTCAGTCTGTCTACCTCATTTTTACGCCAAAACTATTGAACCGATTTAAATTAAATTTGGTACACAGATAGTCTAGACCCTGAGGAAGGACATAGGCTTTTTAATACGAAAAAAGGGTTATAAGGGGTTGAAAGGGGAGATGAAAGTTTATATGGAAGTATCGTCATTTTAAAACTAGAAGCTTGATACTTATTTTTTAGACTGTTGATTAAACATAAATAATTATGACATTCAAAGTTTATAAAAAAAATACCTTTAACGAAAAAAGAAAATAGAGGACGAAAGTTTGTATGGAAATTCCACATTTTTAAAGCTAGAACGGAAAGTGTTTCACTTTTCTTTAGCTTTTTTTTTTATTCGGTTAGTAAATATTTTTTCTTTATTTGGTCGAACGTGAAACACGTTAACGACGATGTCGCAGGTACAGCTAATTTTATATAAAAGTGATATTATAACTGTTTTCGACTTTAAAACTCTAAAGTTTAAATCGATTTCTTTTACCATTTGTAATTATTAGCAAACATGCCAGAAATAAGAGACAAAAACTGGGTCGAAGAGCGTGAAAATAATTTAGACACGAACTGTGTAGTGTGTAAATGAGATTAGATTATCGGGACATGGCAATTTCGGAAACGAACTCTCCCAAATTGTCTTGGGTTCGAGTTAACGTTGTGCAGACCTCGTCCCCTCTGTATTCGTTATTTTCTACGCTGGTTACTTGTCTCTTACCTATCACGGGGATCAGCCAATTGGTGTGATTGTTCTATTACTGTGCCGTTGATAAAGTGGATTGTTTTAGTTTTGTAGGAACCATTCTTACTTTACTTATTATTACTTACCTTACGTTAAATTTCAATAAAAAATATAGCCTATGTGTTATTCTGAGCCATAAAAAATATGATTATATTACTAATAAAATAAGTAATGTGATTATATTACTTTAAAGTTTCATCAAAATCCGTTCAGTAGTTTTTGCGTGAAAGAGTAACAAACATCCATACTCACAAACTTTCGCGTTTATAATAGTTATAGTAATTAAGATTATAAGACCTTTATAACCTGTACTTCACAAATAAAGAATTTGATTTTGTACACTGTAATAAGTGGATAAATTCTGTAGGAACCATTCTCACTGTACTGATCCGCCCCTGTAATAGACAGGGGCGGATCTACCTAAGGGCTGCAGCCCAGGGGCCCGCGGATATAAAAGGCCCCCAGTCCCCACTGAAACGATATTTAGAGCATAAAAAATATATAGAATATTAAAAACCTATCATAAAGTTGGCAACCCTGAGATCAATCAACCCATGTAAGTGCGCGTCTATCGAAAGGAACGGGGAATTTCTGGTCGCTTGTTTTTGGTGGTGTATTTTTTTAGTTGAGTAATATAATTGGGTACGGTAGGTAGGCCTCTAAGTAGATTTAGTCCAGGGCCCCAAAAATTGACGATCCGCCCCTGACTTATTAACTTATTATTTATTCTAAGACCTTTGTAAACTGTTCAAAGCAAATCAAATTAAAAATCATTTATTCATCTAGGACATTTAAGCCGCTCATGAACGTATTTTTTCCCTACCGTCCTGTTCAGTATATAGATTCAATTGAGAAGAACTGGCAAGAAACTCACCTGAATTTCTTTTTTTTTTTAAGACAGTATTTCCATTCCATATCTAATCTGTGATATTCTATAGTCTACTATAGGAACCATTCTCACTGTACTTACTAACTTATTATTTATTTTAAGACCTTTGTCAAGTCAATCAAGTCAAAAATCAATTATTTATGTAGGACATTTTAGCCGCTTATAAACTTATTATTTTCCCCACCGTCCAGTTCAGTAGATACACAGATTCAATTGAGAAGAACTGGCAAGAAACTCGACTGATTTTCAATTTTTTTTTGTGCATCACAAATAATGAAATTGAATTTATACAGTGTAATAGGTAGATAAGTTTATTTGAATAAATGATATCTATATATTCTATAGATATCATTTATTCAAATAAACTTAAATTCATGCATTTTCGAATAGTCACAGTTATCCTTCTTTTAATCTACTGGTCATTCGGAAAGCTGTCTCATCACAAGAACGAGCAAAAAACATGCATGTTGCTCTTTTAAACATTTGTTGTTAAAATTCAAAAGTGTAACGATAGAGACATGGCCTCTGTGGTCACGCGGTTTAAAACACTGCTTTACTTCCAATGGTTGCGGGATCGGTTGCTCGCAGGACACAAACATTTGTATTCATGAATATGATTGCTTGTGGCGGTCTGGGTGTTATCAATAGAACTTAACTTAATGTGCTATCGTCGTCGTCGATCTCTTATTTTTTCTTCTAATTTCAGCCAGGCAGTAGTTGGTCTTCGGCCTCTCCAGAAGCCCTGCGATTGGAGTGCCCTCTATACTCCACCATTTTCGACCAATGTAGCTGTAAAGACCAGCAGTGGCCAACAGCATAACAATAGTACGAAAAGTCCAAATATTGATGAACGATCAGAGATAGATTTTAGAATTATATATTTGGGGTAAGGTAAAGAAATTAAATAGACTATATTAAAACAGATTTATTTTCGTAAATATTTAATAAACACAAAAACATGACTAGTAGGTAATTAGAAGTATCACGAGCAAGCGATATCGTAATAGGTACTGAAGTTAGTAATATTACTGCATTTCAGATTAGTGAACTTATATCGAATTAGTAAAATCATAATCGAATACATATAGGTAATAACTAGATTATCGACAATTACGGATTTAAGAATAATTAATAATAATAATTATTTATTTGCTCAAAAGCACAGCATAAAAGATGATAATTAAAGCTTATCGTATCATGTGTTTTTAATCTTGCTAATTGTTATTTTCACGCGTGGAATTAAAATAAATAAATATTCTAAAATAAATGTAGCCTAAGTTACTCTTTATAACATTACCTATCTGCGAGTGAAAGTCTCGACAAAATCAGTCCACCAGTTTGAGTTTAGCAAGAACAAACGGACAGAGAAAGAGACATCTTTTTTAAATAAATTATTTGGTGTGTACAAATATGTATCTACAATCTCGATTGCTCGTGACACAACAACGTGATTGCTAACAACAGCAAAATATAACAACATATTATATTATTATGATATGTACATTATACTATTATTGTATCATGTAATAAGTATACTATTATTGTACCGTCACTCTTAGAACCATAAAGGTAACATTTCCATACATGCGATCAAATGGAGCACTACAATCCGGCCAATCAAAGGTTGTGTTTCGGACAGGTCGGGATCGGATGGGCGATATAACTTTGAACTGGCGTACAATATACGGTAAAATTTTAAATATCTTTTATTGTCCTTATTAAAGAGTGATAACATTAAAAATTTAATACTTACTTCGACTTACAATTAACGTATTAATTTTGGGCTAATCTTAATTCTAAATACAATAGTTTGCTCACATCACTACAAAAACAAACAGTTGACATAACCTTGAAACAGCGCAGTTTGATGTGGTTTAACTTTTAAAATCTCTGTACGTACGTCATTTCAAAGTTACATCGCTCAATCAATCTCGACCTGTCAGAAACACAAACTCTGAGCGACCGTTCTTTACTATTATTGTGTCGTCACTCTTAGAAAATAAAGGTAGCATTTCGATGCATGCGGTCAATAGGTTATGTTAGTATAATTACTTAATTTTGGGCGCACCCTAACGCTCCGAATCACAGAGCTAATATCTTGATGGTACCTTTATATTTCAGATTCAATAGTTTTATCACAATTACTACACTATTTATATAGTGTAGTACATACACACATACACATATATATGCTAGCTGACCCAGAAACTTTGTTTTCCCATATAAATTGAGGTACACCTGTAATAAGAAAAGCTTTAAAAAAAATAGGCGTTGATCGTAGAAGGGTGAAAATTTGAAGTTGTATGTAATTTTCAACGCTAAATCATAATAACATAAAAATAAATATTTAGGGGTGGATCACCCTTATCATTGAGTGATATCGTCTACGAAATTGCTATACTATTTTAATGTAAACAGAGTCAACTTATATATATTGTAAATTTGTTGTATGTGCAATTATAAATAAAAAAAAATATTTATTGGAACAATCTCGTGCTTTTATGTGCAATTATAAATAAAAGCATTATTTATTAGGACAATTTCGTGCTTTTGTACTTGTTTTTCTTATACTTTAAATCTACAGGATATAATCTGTATATCTTCACTCCACAGATTCTACCGTATCTCACTACTGTAATACTATAACCTAATACAATTTATTAATCAATTATCATTGACTTTAATATTGCTCGCAAAAGTTTAAAGCAAAATGATCACTTATGCAATATTTGTATTTTATTTATAATCATTGCTAGATGCTCGTTATCGAGATAAAATTTCTCTTTTAACGTGAATACGCCAATAGCTAAGCATTAGGGAGAAGACAATCTAAAGATTGCATATACACTATGGGTAACACATCCTATGTGGCTATAGCCCACTCATGCATAAACATAATATCTCCTTTGAAAAGTTCATACTCTATCTTGAGAAAATAAAAACCATCGCTCCTAAGAATACCCTCTATTTCTTGTCCCTGACGGGTCTAGGTAGTGAACTTTGAAAAAGGGCGAGTACAATAGATCTATGTAGGTCGCAGTGCTACAGGTCCATGCACCTGACAATACACTAACACTTAACACTTTTTAATGTTTTTATTGGGGAAAGAGATTGTTAGTAACGTTGACTGATGACCCCATTGCTAGCAAAGTACCATGTCAAGTTAACCTCCACTTTTCCCGTTGGATATCATCGTGATAAATTCCTGGTGAATCCGCCACGATGAACAAACTGGCATGACTTTATACTCGTGCTATCTTCTATTCTATTCTTCATTGCTGCCCCGCCAGCGTAAACGTTTAGTTCAAACGGGTGCACCATTCCATTATCATCCCTAAAAACAAAATCTAATAAACTTTTTCTTTTTTTGCCTCACTTTAGTTCCATTTATTTTGACTCAGCCCGTCTGGTCTTCGCCAGTACGGCCTATCCTGAGTGGTCTGGGGTCTTATTACGGAGTTTAAAACCAAATCTAACAAAATCAATAATTAATAATTAAACCATGGAATGTCCTTTTCTTTATTAGATGATTATGGAATGGTCCACTGCCTGCGCTAACGGTATACGCTGGCGGTGCCCCAGTGGAGGATGATACGATGAGCATATGGTCAGGTCAGTTAGCCCATCGTTACAAATTCACCAGGAACCTATCACGATGATTTCCAGAGGGAACGGCGTTCAGGTCAACCTGACATACTTTGCTAGCAATGGGGGTTTAGTAATTCACATTACTAACAATCCCATTCCCGCCATGGAATGTAATAATGTGGGTAGGATGGTACGTATTGCTGGTAGTCTCTGGTTGTCTTGTTATTAAAACAGACGGGAGGAAAATGTTGGGAGACTCGGTACAGCATTATGAATTATAAGTATTATTATTGAAGGAAGAATAGAAGGTAAAAGGAATAGCGGAAGACGTGTAGACATTTAAAGTGAAGAACGGAAGATCGTGGGAAGAACTTGAGAGAAGCTCTGATATACTCAGACTTTTAAATTATTAATAGAATAGGCATATTCACGTCAAATATTAAACCTAATAAAGCTAAATTCTTCATTTTAATTCTAGAAGAGTCCTGGAAAGTTGCAAGATCTTAACCGACAAAAGTTTCTACAGACTAAGGCTTATTTTTAATTAAATAGGATTGCTCACGTCAAATTATTTATTATTTTATTTATAGTCTTTGTGCTGACAATCGTCAACTTGTCCCAAGACATAGGCCTCGACCAAAAGACTCCAGGCTCCTCTGTCCAATGCCTTCCTTCTCCATGTTGGTCCCGCCACTGCCCTTACATCATCCTCTCACGTCAAATACTACCACTAATAAATTGACGGCCTCAGTGGTCTAGCGGTTTAGCACACCGGTTTACTTCCGATGGTCGCGGGTTCGATTCCTCGCACGGTGCAAACATTTGTATTCGTGAGTACGTTTGTTTGTATCGGTATGGGTGTTTTCTATGTATATTATGTATGCATATACAAAAAAATCTGAGTATTTATATCAGTTGTGTAGTACCCATCACACATGCCCTGCTTACCGTGGAAGTAGATGGCGCTGTGTTAAGTGTCCAGGGAATTTTTACAATATTTTTTAATTAATAAAGCTAAATTTCATATTAATACTAGAACAGTAATAATTCTTAAAATTAGTCACTAAACTGATTGAACCTGTGATATGACGACATGCATCCATTGTCACGATATGCTACAAGTCAACCATGATATGAGTGAACAGTGGATGCAGTACTGTTGCTACTTCTGTATAGGTAAGTGAGTTCAAACCATCCGTCGCCATTCTGTCCTTGGCTAATTGTAATACCTTGTTTCTTGTATTCCTGAAAGAATAGTTTCATATATTTTAGTAAACAAACTGCATCATATTTGATTGAATTAGGTGTTATTTTGCCTATCTATGTACCCATTTTCATTCAAATCCGACCAGCCAACCAAGTCAACCAGCCTTGAGTATTATTACACTTTATATAATAAAAATGAACTTGGCGTACTGACAGTAAAGCAGAAGATCCTCAATTGAAAAGAAAAATATAAAAAACGACTATGTAACCATCCAAATCAACTGACTGCTCAATTACTACAAATATTTTACCCCAAGCAACTAAAAGGAAGCTACATTGTGTAATGTTTGCAGTATGCTTAAGGAGTAGATCCTCCCGCTAGGGTGGACACTCCATTCTTAGTTCCCACACACAAAAAATCTGCTCATAGTTCTGGGACTGACTGTAGATAGGACGAGAAAAGAAAAAATATATAATAAAAATATCCCTGAACAATTCATATCGCCATCACTGATATAAATACTTAGATTACATTTTCATATACATTTTTTTATAAATACATACATAATATTATGTATATTATCACCTACAGTCATACTCATAAATACAAATGTTTGTATTATGCGCCCATCAGGAGTAAAGTGGTGTACTAAAACACTAGAACTTCGAGGGCTTCAAGATAAGTTTTCCATATGTTAATTTTGGAGTAAACTACTAATGTACAAAATTTCATTCAAATCATACCATCTAAGATCGACCTAGAATATCTTATCTCAATAATATTATAAACGCGAAAGTTTGTGAGTATGTTTGATACTCTTTCACGCCAAAACTACCGGACGGATTTTGATGAAACATTACAGTAATATATCTTAGACATGAGAATAAAATATAGGCTATAAATTTAACGCGGTTGGAACGTCCAGTACAGCTAGTTGGACATAATTTCAATATCAATTTTTAGTTACCTTTTATTTTCAGATCTATGCGAAAACATATGATAGCGACTCGTCTCTGGCTCGAATCTGCACATCTTCAGCCCCTTAGCTTCAATACGCGCGTAGAAATCATCATCTTCACCTTCTAATCCAAAATATTCGTTGCTCATCCCGTTTATAGCTTTGTATTGTTTAGAAGCAATGGCTATAGCACCACCAAAGAGATTCAGATATGGTAACACATACCTGAAATTTACCATAAAGAAATTCAGTAAGTATAATATAAAATTACTAGCTGACCCCGAAAACATTGTTTTGCCTTATCAATTAAAATCACTAGTAAAAATTAAGGGTTGATGTATGTAGTTTTAAAGTCACATTATAAAAAAAAATTGTCCAAAAAATAAAATTAAAATGTTAGGGGTGGACAACCCTTATCTCTTAGGACTACCAAAAATAGACAGTAGCCGATTCTCAGACCTACTGAATAAGCATTCTACTTTGCTAGCCGTATTACATATTTAGTTTTAATAACTACATTTGAAACTAGCTGTTCCCGCCACTTCGTCCGAGTGGAACTTAACTTTATTTTTCTAAAATGAAAGTAGTCTAAGTTACTCCTTATTACATCAGCTAACTGCGAAAAACAGTCCCGTCAAAATCGGTACAGTCATTTCAGAGATTAGCCGGAACAGACAGACATAAAATTGTGAAACAAAATATTTTGGTGTATGTACCGTATTTATATTCAAATGCATGTAGTAAAAAACGGATATTTCAATATTACAAACAGACACTCCAATTTTATTTATATGTATGTATAGATAACCTTGGATTACTATAATAATTATCATATAACAAGGTCGATGTAGTAAAAAGAAAGGACAGTTGTACCAGCAAATTATAATTTAGTTTGCAAACAATATTTTATAATTGAAAATAAAAGTATCTCTACTTACATATGCAAAACAAATAGAAACAAAGCTTGTGTATTTACTAATATCAGTATTGAGTGGTGAAATTAAAAAAATGCTATAAAAAATTGCAAAAAGACTCCATCAATACAAGGTATGTCCAATTCAAAATCTGTAAAAATAATAAAATTAATGAATGAATATACATTAATTAAATCATATCATTAAGACAATACATTCTGATTTTGATTCAAATCAGTGGTAGATTTAAAAAAGAATAACTATGATTATTCAAAAATTGCTTCAATTAAGTTTATTTGAATACAGGATTTTCTATTTTTTACCATATAATATCATCAGAAGCAGCAAGTGCATATGACCATAATATTATTAATTTAGTTAATAAATTTTAATAATTGTTTAGTGATCCTTCAATAACATATTTATTTTCTTTTCTTAATTAATTCCTTTTATCTATGTTTTTTTTAAATAGTTAATTTTAGTGTAATGGTGTCTTTAGCAACTAAAATGAACGAGCTCTTTAGATTTATATATGCGAAAACAATGTAAATGTGCATAGATTTATTAAATTAATTATTTATTTTATTATTTCATTTATTTCGGATATTTATCCATCTGTATTATGTTAGTAAACAACTTTATACATTTAATTCATATATTTATATTTATATAATATATATTACTGTATTTTTTTTTTATTTATAACACTATTGCACCAACATTTCTATGTTGGTGCAGTTAGAACATTAACAAAATGAAAACATTAAAAATTAAACTAATTACAAAAGTTGGTCTTAGCGCTTATGCAATAAGCTTATAAATATAAAATAATAATAATAAATCTTTCAGACAACCTTTGGCTTTAAAAAAATAGAGTAGATGATGAATGAGTGAAAATAAGTACAGAAAGTAAAATGAATCTAAACCAAATTATGTATTGTTTTGTTTTCTTAATAAATAAAAAAATATATGTGTATTATGTAATTGCCAATTCATACCGAAATTTATTAATACTGGAGGACATGTGTCTCGGCTGTTTGGTACAGGCATACAGGTTTCCTTGTCTTAACGGTAGCAGATCCACATCATGCAATATTAAACATGGATATCCAGACCGCATAGCTGCCTTTGCACCGATATTCAGAAGCTTTGCTTTGTTGAACATTCTTGTGTCGAGTTGCTCCACCACAAAGATGCGATAGTGGATGCACTGGTGATGTAGGAATGTGTGCATGTACACTAAAAAGCCACGTAGTTGCTCTGCTCTATTCCTGGAAGGAGATTCTATATTAATTCTCATTCACAATCCACTCATTTAATGTATTGCCTGTGACAAGGTCCATATAATCATTTTTCTCCATGGTATAGGTTTCGTAAAAATTTGCCTTGCTCTAGAATATCTCAAGGTATATTCTAAGTTTGCCCATGGCATAGTTGTAATATTTAGACTTGCTCTAAGATACTTGAAGTTATATTCTTAATTCTTAAGGTTTTAGGAAAAGGTACTCAAGTTAAATATTACTAGTTACTACTATTAAGTAATCTGAATACACTAAAAATATCAATATATTTATATCAGGGTATTATTTGTAGTAATAGGAATGTATTACAGTGGATTGTAATATATCAGGTTCGCCCATGTGTGGGTCCCACTAAAAATCATCATATTTAATTACTACTAAATTCACCATAATATGCTAACTGACCAGACTTCATCACCCTCCACTAGAGCCCCAGCACCGTATACTGTTAACTCTGGCAGGTACATAATTGCATTATAAATTACAAATATATATATATATTTATACCTATACGGAATTATAATCGCCGTACTAAACTTGGGCTTGCATTCTGACGGTGTGTATTCGCCACCGTCTTTAATTTTATGGCCTTCCACCAAATCTCCGTCGACTAAACTTATGGAAAGAGTGGTGTCATCAAATATTAAATTACGATATTCACAATGAAGGACGGCAACGCTTGAGAAGTTTTCCGCTGTTTCCTCTAATAAACTATTGAGAATATCATCTTTTTCTATATATTCATAGCTTCCCCGACCATTCATATCGGGATGTAAAAAAATTATCAAAATTACAATAACAATCCCGCAGAATATTATGTTCCTTTTGTATGCATAACGCATTTTTACGAATTGTCTATTATATTTACTATTTATACGATTTATATTATTTATTTATAAATATAAATTTATAAGACTAATATAAACTAAATTTATTGATTTCCATGAAATCGAAACAAAAATTGAATTTTCGCAGATATTTTGTAATTTTTCATGACATAACATATTTATGTCAGTCATTCGACTGAGTCCGAGTGACAGCAGTCATTTCGGTGTCAAAATTCTAACGTTTTAGAACCAGTAAAAAATCCATAAATAATTTCACATTTAATATTGCTCTATGGTTTCCAAAACAACACATTCAAACATATGTGGGTATTTCAAAACTATACAACTTAGAATAGTATACACAGAGGGTATTTTGTTAATAAAATATGAAATATCATTGTTTTAGTAACTACATGAAGGATTTTTGTATTTGACTCAGTCTCATTGGTACCTGTGATTGTAACTGGCAAAAAATACTTGACGATGGACAGAACGAAGAAAAACGAAATTGCTATTGACACAAGTGACGATCTTGGTGACGATACGGAAAACTCGAATAATTCCGTTGAAGCTGTAAGGGATTGTTCAGTACGAGACAAAATAAATCTATCCTGGGAATCCAACTACTATGATTCTTTTCATAATAAACATAAGGACGGTATTACAACGCCACCATTCGTAAGCATTATGATAACTAGCAGTCAAGATGATGTTGATACGTTACAAAATGAAACTGGGATATCAACTGCACAGCCAATCAATTGCACAGAGGATACGAGTTTATCTTTTTTTAAAGAGTTTACTCAAGATAGTACGTCGAACGAAGGGTCGGAGAGATCTGTCGTCTATAAACGCAACCGTCGGCACTCGAGCGATGCAGACATTAATAGGCCTTGGAAAATAACAAAATGTACTAGGTCCAGTACTACCACTTCATCTGAGTCGACAGAGCCTAAAGTCACCACCGAACAGTCTGCTTCATCGACCCAATTGTCCAGTGGTTCTGACGTATCATTTAAGTCTATACTAAGTAGTCCTTCCTTCAAAGTAAGGAAGAGACGATTGAAATCAGAATCCAGCTTGTTTAAAGATGCGTTGCAGAGATCTAGGAAGCCTTATCGTGGTAAAGCAAATCAATCTGGACATAATTCTCAAGGTAATTACGTTTAAAGTATTTTGTTAGTTTGTAAATTGGTGAATTGAATTTAAATTTTCTCTAGTACAAGTTTTATAGTATAGGAGGAAATAGAAATAGAAATAGAAATAGAAATAATCTTTATTCAAATAAACTCATTACAAGCACTTTTGAATAGTCATATTTTGATTCTACCATTCATTCGGAATGCAGATTCATCACAAGAAGAACGAGCAAGAAGCTTGTGTGTTGCTCTTTTTAATAGATGTTTTTTTTTATATGCAAAGAGGCAAACGAGTTTGCGGCATACCTAATGGTAAGTGATTACCGCTGGCTTGTTTTATCCGTTTTCACATTCACATTTCCAATATTAGTGTTTTAAGTGTAGTGTTAGTAAATAGCAAAAGCAGATTTTTTTGGACAATTGACACAGCGCTATCTAGTCCCACAGTAAACAGAGCTTCTGTTACATAGATACTTTTTTTTTGTAAATTAATACAGAATATACATAGAAAACACCCAGACAGATACAAACAGTATACAAATGCTTGCACCGTGCGAGGTATCGAACCCGCGACCAGCGGAAGTGAAGTGGCGTGGTAAACCGCTAGACCACCGAGGTCGTCATATCAGATTTATCCGTTCTTTTTAGCTGAATTTACATTGCGAACGAGCGCCGGGCGGGTGATTAAAGAAATACTATTCAAACTTTGCTTATTAATTAGAAAAATCAATTTTTTTGCCGTTTATTAATATATACTAATCATAACTTAGTTTTAAATCTGAAAAAAAGCAATCATATATTTACATCAAAACTTTTGTGTTGTGTACGTTGAAGTTAAATAAATAAATTATATTTGCGACCTCGGTGGTCTAGCGGTCTAGCACACCGCTTTACAACCGATGGTCGCGGGTTCGATTCCTCGCACGGCACAAACATTTGTATTCATGAGTATGATTGTTTGTATCGGTCTGGGTGTTTTCTATGTATAATACGTATGTATTTACAAAAAATATATATCTATGTATATGTATTAGTTATCTAGTACCCATAACACAAGCTTTAGCTAGCTTAACTTGGGTCTAGATGTCGCTGTGTAAATTGTCCTGAGATTATTATTATTATTATTATATACAACATAAGTAAATCCTAAATATGAAATAGGTAGGTTCCTAAAGATCCAATATAATTCTCAGTTTCCGGTTTTAGTGCTTACAAACTGGTTAGGTTACATTATTATTACAATGAACCTTGACAGTCTGACAAATATATCGATACAAATAATTCTTAACAAATTTGGGATCCCAGTTATAAATGATGTCACGGCATTTGTTTTGAACTAGCGCTTATCTGGAGTGATAACGTTTTACTATAAGGGGCCACCCATAAATTTGATCATAAGATTTTCGTTATTTTTGACCCCTCCCCCATCCTTGTCACAGTTGGCACATTCACAACTTTTTTTTAAATTTATTTAATTCAGGCCACATAGCCCGTATTATAAATACCTTATAGACTAATACATAAGAAATAATAATAAAATTTAAATTCAAATTGTCTCTATGGTCACGGCACTGACGACGGCAATCTGCGTCCGGCAATCCGATAGACCCTTCGGCCAGTAGTTCTCCTTCATAAAGGTGGGTAGTATGTTGGCGGGGACCCGGGCCACGACCGGTTTGAACCTCGCGTTGTGACTCGATTCCAGCTGTGTAACCTCAATGCCAGGTTACTTTTGGTCTGGATATAGTCCACAATGTCCTGTTCCATAAGACACACCAATCCCCTAGTGTGGCGTCACATATTTTGAACATTCTCTTCTTTATGTGTGGAGTTTGACACGTTTTCTCCTACTGGAGTTTGACAATCATGGCGATCTTAACTTTGTCCACTGCTGTTCTAAACAGGGATCTGGTGCTAATTCCTTAACCACTGTCTTAAGTTCTTTAGCCAATACGTGCGACGCCTGCCTGATCTTCGCCGTCCCAGAACTTATCCTTGAATCATTAAAGAATTTGAATTATGCAAAAGATCATATTTTTGATTTCGCATTATACGTCCAAGGTACTGCAACTTCCTATGCTTTATAGTCAATCAAATCAAATCAAAATATCTTTATTCATGTAGGTCTATTACTATTACTCTTATGATATGTCAAATCTACCGTCAGTTCAGAATACTTTCGAGATGAAAAGAACTGACAAGAAACTCAGCTCGTATTCTTTTCAAATATGATTGTACATGTCTACAATAATGCAGATTCATTTTTGAATTGAAATTTGGGAGAATTTAATGACCACCAGAGTATGCTACTACAATTTTGTCAGAGGCAAATAGTCTAATCAGTGTACGTAACCTGAACAGACCGGTTCCCACAAGCGTGCCTTTTATTTTCAATACTTGAAGTAATTTATTTTAAATTTGAACTATTTTCGTTAATAGCCCAACTTTCGTGATCTAATACTTAGAAATGTTCTGTCACAACGTAGAACCACTCACTTCTCTCGACTTGGCCTCCTTCGTCTCCCTTAACCGTGTAACGCCCCTTAACCGTGTTTATGAATGGCCCCTAATGGTAAACATCATCTAGAGTGAGTGCCGGGATATTTAAGATTGGTGACATCATCTGATCATTGCTGTGGGGTACACAATTAAAAGGTCTTCGATTTTCTAAATGTGTGGACTGTATTTCAATTTGTTTCTTATTCTATGGGTCGGCCGGCCGGAGTGGGGTTTTCTTGGCCGTTGCGCCGGCGGTGGTTCTTCGTCGGTGGCGTATGCGTAAGAGAGCGCGATCGAGAACCAACCCGCCTTTTACGGGCGCCCGAGCGCGTCCTTCCCCACCCCCGCCGAGCCGTGCGCGTCGGCCGTCCCACCCTCCCGACAATTCCTGCACATGTCGGTGACCGACGGGCCGGAACAGCGAATACGCACACATTTAAAATTAAATACAATAGTAACAACACAAAAAACTACAAAAAACCACGTGCGACTAAATGCCACATGTTCAGGCTACACTAAAGCTGTGATCCCTAAGAATTTACACAATGGGCGGACATAGAATTCACAGTATCTATGCCGCTACAAAGGGTATATGGTACAAACAATAGTCTAACCTAAACAATAGTCAAAACACTGGAAAAATACAAATTTATACACAAATTTATTTACATATTTTCGATGCCGACTCGTGGTCCGCAACAGCCTCCCCCGGCGCAGATCTTCGCAGCCCTTATCCCTAGGGAGGACCACCAGCCTTCGGGTCGGCCTTCGAAAAATTCCCTCGCGTTCGTCCGTCCGTCCGCGTTCACCGCAACGCCACTTGACCCATTTCCCCGCTTCAGCGGGGCGCTCCCGGCCCAGCTTCCATGCCCGTCGCCTGTATTCTTCTGCGAGCAGCAGCACCTGTGCCGGGGTCCTCCTCACTCGGTCATATGAGGAGAACCGCATTCTGTCCATTACGGGCTTTGCCTTCGCCCGGGCACGGGCTACTGTCTCTGCAGGGACGGGCTTGCTTTCCTTGGGTCGTTCTTTCTCTGGAGCGTATACAAGCGCCGGCCCGACGGATCTGTCGGCGGCGGTCCGTATTGTATATCTCGCGCGGGTCGCGTCGTTAGTTACGTCGTGGGCGGTCGGTACCCAGCGCCACTGTGTTGGTTCTGTATGTTCGGCGCTTTCTGCCATCCGGCGGGCCGCGTGTGGATTGTATCGAGCGGTGTCGTTCCTAGTCCAATGTAGCGTCTTCTTCGAGACCGTCCATAGGAAGACTTCGGCCGCGCGACGACGTCCTTTCAGTACGTCAGCGGCCAGTCGGGGTCCTACCAGGCTCGCCTGAAGCTCCATCCGGGGTATACTCTGCGCTTTCATAGGCGCTACCCTCGCTTTGGCTGCTACCAGGACGACGTTAACGCTACGATCCTCGCGTTCCGTCCTCCAATACGCGGCTGTGGCATATGCCTGTTCGCTTGCGTCCGTGAATACGTGCAGTTGCGACCGTTGGCTGTCGTTCGTGCCATACCATCGCGGCAATCTCAGTTCCTTCGGCGTCCTCGCTCGCTGGTCCTCACACACATTCTCTAGCAGGCTCGGTCGGTTTGTATTCCAACCCGCCAGCGTGAATCCTATCCCGCCATGAACCTCTACTACCTCTCGTATGGCGCGGGCTGCTTCCTCTTCGGAGTCAAAGCTATCGACCCAGTCGTCCATGTAGTGGTTCCTTGTTATGGCGGTGTACGCTGACGGGTGCGACTCTCGGTGCTCTGCCGCGTTCCTGTCTCGAACGCTGTGTGCGATGAACGGTGAGCTCCTCGCCCCGAAAATCATTGAGGTCATTACGTATTTCTGCGGCGGGTTAATCCTGTCATCTCCTCGCCACAGAAACTGTTGTGCTGCTCTATCTTCTTCCCGTATCTTAATCTGCAGGAACATCTCTCGTATGTCCGCTGTGATAGCTACGGGCTTCTCGCGGAAACGGTATAACACACCGTTAAGCGACCGTAGCATATCTGGCCCATCCAGCAGTACGTCGTTCAAGCACATTCCCTTCGAACGGGCCGCGGCGTCGAATACGAGTCGCAGTTTTCCGGGTTTATTCGGATTCGTCACTCCGAAATGGGGAAGGTACCACGCGCGGTCGTTGTTGAACCGGTCGTCGGTTACTTTCTCGGCGTAACCCTTGTCCAACAACTTGTTTATCTCCGCGGTATACGCCAGCCGGAATTCCGTAGAGCGATCCATCCGCCGCTCTATTCCCCTCAGTCGGCTCGCTGCCATGTCGTAGCTGGGAGGTAGAGCGACGTTATCTCTCTCCCACGGCAATCCTACGACGTATCGCCCATCCACTCTCGTCGCTGTGCGGTTGAATGTGGCGACGGCGCGCTCCTCCTTGGCAATGGGTAATCTCTTCGACGATATACCCAACGCGTCGATGTCGTAATGCGCTTTTATTATGCCCTCTATATGCCGCATGTCTGGCTCGGCGTTGCGCTGTGTCAACCGCACGTGGAGGACATGTTCCTCGTCTTCCACGACACTTCTGGGTACCGTTCCGTGGATGACCCATCCCAGTCGTGTCAGCGACGCTGCGGGTTGATTGTGCCTTCCTGTGAGCAGCTTCCGCGTAACAATCAGATGCCAGTTGTCTGACCCGATCAAGACCTTGGGTCTGGCATCTTCGTAGCACACTTGCTCGCAAGTGAGTTGTCGCAGGTGTCCGTACGCGAGTATTTCCGGGTTCACTCGCTGCGTTCCTAGGGTGAGGTCCCGGATCGTACGCGCCCTCACCGAGTGTTCTTCGTCCGTATGGTGTCGCCCTCTGATGATGACATCAGCCACTCGGCTTGAGGCTTCGTGCCAGCTCGAGGCCGCTCCCTGAATTCTCAGAGATCGCGTCGGACCTTCGGCTCCGATCTGTTCTGCGATCTCCGCATCGATGAGTGTAACCGTCGAGCCTTCATCTAGCATCGCGTACGTCTCTACTTCGCGTCCCGTCTTGCCTTTCACGATGATGGGACACACCTTTAACAACACTTGGCTGTTCTCTGGCAAGCGTGCTGCGGCTGTAATCGCGGTGTCCTCTTGCCGCTTCGGCGGCTCTTATGGGGGGTGCAGCAGGGCGTGGTGTGGCTTACGACACTCTCTCACACCACATTTGCGTGCCTTACACTTGAACCTTCTGTGCGTGCTGTTCATGCATTGGAAGCACATCTTATTTGTTTTCGCCCACTCCCATCTGTCCGATAACGACATGTCGTTCAGCTTCTTACACTTCGGCGTTACGTGTGCGGCGCCGCAACAGAGACATTCGGTACTCTGTTCGCTCTTTTCTACGGCGGCGTATACGGCCGCGCCACGATCCGTCATCTGTCGCCGAGGTGCCGACATCGTTGCTTTCGGTATGGGTTGCCTAGTGGGTTGCTTCGGGGGCTGCTTCGTGGGTAGCGCGCTCGTTCGTCTCGTTGGTGATGCTATTCGCAGATGTCGGGTCATGAGATCGGCTTCGCTCATTAAAAACTCTGCCATCTTGATGATCGTAGGTCTAGTGTCCTCCTTGTTTTTTTCAGCGTAGTGACACCAGTGGACCTGTAAGTGAGGGGTCAGCTTCTCTGACACTTCACTCTCAAGCGCGGGATTATGTAGGAATCTCGCCCCCTTGTCGATATCCGCGACGATGGTGGTGATGTTCTGTAGTTTAATGGCGAAGTCAATCACCTCTGTTGTCGATGTTCCTATTACCGGCATCCTTCTCAGATCTTTGAGGGCGCGGTCGATGATGGCCTCTGTCCGGCCGTACCGCTGCTCCAACGTCCTCATGATCTGCGACGGTTCTGTAGCGGATACGAGTAACGCTGCGACTGTCTCTCTCGCTTTTCCACGTAAGCAGGCCCTCAGCCTGGCCAGGTTCTCCGCTGGTGTGATCCTGTACGTCTTTGTAGACTGGTCTACGGCCGCCTTAAACGCTAGCCATTCACTTGCTTCGCCGCTGAAGATCGGGAGATCTTGGGCTTGCCTCGGCGCTACCCTATCCGCTCGTTCGTCCACAGCTCGTTCAATAGCTTTGGCCAACCGGGTGAATCCTTCTTGCATCCCGGCTTCAGGAGCGGGGGACCTCCGTCTTTGCTTCGGCGTCCTCGGCGGTGAAGCTTGCCTTTCTGTTGGCTCTTTCTGCGTAGGCGGTGGGGAATTAATTCTCTGCTCCCCCCGTACTTCGGTACGTTGAAACCAATCCGTTATACGTTGCAGGCCGGCACCTTCCTCGGAGCACACGCTATCTCTATCGGTCTCTTCATGTACCGCGGCGACATCGGCTGCCAACTACTTTCTAATTAAATCAGCCTGTAATTTCGCCATCTGTAGCGCTGCCTCGTACTCCAGCCTCTTTAATTTAGCTATACCGCTAGCGGTGGAGCGGCGCGATCGCACCGACGCGGCCCGGGCCGGACGTACATCTGTCGTCGGCGGCTGCGACGGTGGCGCCGGTGCGGAGTCCGAGGTAAACGCGGCGCGGGCGGCTTGTGCCTGTGGCGCGCTCGACGGCGCGGCGGACGCGGACATCTGCGTGGTTTCTGAAGGGGACGCTTCTGTCTGTTTATTTTCCCGCGTGGTCTTTTTCTCTGCTCCCGGGGCTTGGCTTCTCGTAGTCGGCATCGTGTTCTGGCACTTGCAAGCCCCTAACCTACCGGTCCCTACCTACCTAACCGTCCCTAACAATCCCTCAGGATAACACCCGAGGGGATGGACTATGGGGATAGGAGGGTAGGAATTACCCCGCAGTGGTGCGTATGTACAGACGGGGCGCTCAGGGCCGGTTCGGACTTTCCGACCCCTTTGGCAGTGCCTACAGTCCGGCCCCCGCTATACGATACACACGTACAGGCGTAATAGTGCTATTCGGTTGCGCCACGGTAACAAGCAACAACCGGCAGTGACACACCACCCACTGCACCGCTCAATGGCGTTAACCCACACTCCGACCGTTTGACACCGTTAGGTGGTAAGAGATGTGAGCCGCGGACACACCGCTTAGACGTTATCTATCCTATATGGCGTAGACGTTATTTATCCTATCCTCGCTGCACCCTCAAGTTTTCACCTTACGACGGCAGCTAAATTCGGTAAGCTACTAGCGTCGCACCGTTGGGTGATCTTCCTCGGCGAGGTACGTCGCACCGTTGGGTGATCTTCCGCGGCGATTCGTCGCACCGTTGGGTGATCTTCCACGGCGATTCGTCGCACCGTTGGGTGATCTTCCACGGCGATTCGTCGCACCGTTGGGTGATCTTCCACGGCGATTCGTCGCACCGTTGGGTGATCTTCGGTCTTGATATCCGGCTCGAAGGACCACAAAATTGTGGGGTACACAATTAAAAGGTCTTCGATTTTCTAAATGTGTGGACTGTATTTCAATTTGTTTCTTATTCTATGGGTCGGCCGGCCGGAGTGGGGTTTTCTTGGTCGTTGCGCCGGCGGTGGTTCTTCGTCGGTGGCGTATGCGTAAGAGAGCGCGATCGAGAACCAACCCGCCTTTTACGGGCGCCCGAGCGCGTCCTTCCCCACCCCCGCCGAGCCGTGCGCGTCGGCCGTCCCACCCTCCCGACAATTCCTGCACATGTCGGTGACCGACGGGCCGGAACAGCGAATACGCACACATTTAAAATTAAATACAATAGTAACAACACAAAAAACTACAAAAAACCACGTGCGACTAAATGCCACATGTTCAGGCTACACTAAAGCTGTGATCCCTAAGAATTTACACAATGGGCGGACATAGAATTCACAGTATCTATGCCGCTACAAAGGGTATATGGTACAAACAATAGTCTAACCTAAACAATAGTCAAAACACTGGAAAAATACAAATTTATACACAAATTTATTTACATATTTTCGATGCCGACTCGTGGTCCGCAACAATTGCCGTTGATACCCCTCGACGCTCCATTCAAGTTTTCAACGGTCGCCATTTATAATTAATCAGTGATATGTCTTACAAGCGTATTGCTGCGTCTTAGGCAATATTAAATATGGACGCTAGTAATAAGAGGTTGACTATAGAAGTAGAAGTGGAGTGTGGTTTAGATATTAATTTGATTAGTGATATGGAATGGTTTGTGCTATCAGGAGGTACACCCAGGAAGGAGAGGAACGTAAGAAGAAACAGCAGGAGTTGGAAATTCGTGGACCTGTGTACATGGATCGGTAGGAAGGTAAATATTGAAGATTACTGACTGAATATTTAATATAGTAATGAGAATAAAAATGCGAGATAGGTACCTATTCCTTCAAGTGCAACCCTTTCAAGGTTATTTACATTATATATTATCAGCGATTTTGTTATTTTCTTTCATTAATTGTCAATAAAACTTTTTATACATACGATATGTATATTTTTAGTTAGGATATCATTTTAGCATGTTCATGTATACAAATAAATAAAATTTAAATGTCTGTTTCTAATTTCGAGTTAAACTCTTCACGAAATGCATATTAAAGTATAGTCGTATTTCTTTATGTAAGTTTTATAACAAAAAATAATTGTCTGTATGTCTGTTAGTTCCCGCTAATCTCTAAAGCGGCTAGATCCATTTTGACAGGGTTTTCACTCGCAGATAGCTATTGCTATAGGGAGTAACTTAAAGCTAATTTAATTTCAAACTTTTTATTTATACTAATAAATAAAAATCCACGCGGACGAAGTCTCAGGTTACTTCTATCACAGATAATATAATATTCTTCTATTATATAATTATTATTACTATTGTTCTTTTTATTATTTTATATTATACTGCAATAATAGATAGACAGACAATTTCTTTTTATTTTGTGTTGCATTTAGCGAAAAGCTGTTAATTTGAAATTACAAACAGACACAAATATTTATTTATGTACAATTACGTAATAATCCGGGTATTGAAGATGAGAAGGATAAGAGAGAAGCAGACGATGATGTTATGGTGTTTTTGTCTCACAAATTTTGAATTTATTACATGGTGTAATTAGTAAACCAACATTTTATATTATATTATAGCAGCAAGTAAAATTCAGCAAGAAAAACTCGTATCAACCTGAATGAATGAAATGAACTACAGATAATAGAAATAATTATTTCATTTGTTAAAAAATCTTCGTATTTATATGATAAAATATCCATTCTTAAAGAATTAACAATTTCTTATTTTTTTTATATCAGGGGTACCAATCCATCACAGGATTATATTCAGACATATTGCGAGAACCAATGGGACAAAAAGAAAATACACACGTAGAAGAAATAAAGGAACTACGGAAGTATCTGGAGCAAGTGGATATGAAGCAATCGCGACTCACCCGGGAGAACGAGGTTCTTCAAGAGCAGATGACGAAAATGATGAGAAAAGTGGAAGAGCTCGAAGACAAAGTCAGGTAAGTCAGAAAAATCTTTTTGTACAATGACAAAGTATAACCTAAACATTCTTAAGTCAACCACAGATTGTGTAATATGTAGGTACTAGATAAGTTTTAGAAATACTTAAATATATTTGTAATACACATAGATAAGAGGCAAAACCAATACATGAACGAAGGGATGTTTTTACGCTTTCATTATATTTAATAGTGGGACCGTGGGTCTAGCAGACCCGGTCTCACGTTGCTGTGGCTAAAGCTCTTGATTAAAATAATATTGCGACTATAAAGAGGTAAGCTATCCTATCTTTCAAGTTGGATAAAATTGCACACAATGTACAAATCAAATTTGCAATTGGTTTAGTAGTTAGTTCGTCGCGGACAAACAACGTTATTTTTATATATAAAGAGTAAGGATTTTTATTGCTAATTTGCAGACATCAAGAAAGTCAACTGGAGTCCTGTGCCTTACCTATACAGGCGCCACCTCCTCCCCCACCCCCGCCTCCGCCGCCTCCACCGCCTCCACCGTTACCACCCATTCCACCACCTCTGCCTCCATCACAAACACAGCAACAGTCCAAACCATTGGCACGATCGCACACGATACCTAGATGTGGCTCGGCCCCACCAAGAATCGCCGGTCCCAGACTGACTATTACGCCGCAGGATATAGCCAATGTTAAATTAAGAAAAACTAAGGTAAGTTCGACTGTGCTTAAGAATGAATATAAGAGTGCTATCATAATCATCTCAGTATACCTTTATAACTGTACTAAATAGCATTTTACCGTAGCATGTAGCTAACCGGTGCCACTTCATCTGTATAATTTTCCCCGTCGTTACTACATTTTTCCTAGTTACTACATTGATCCTAGTTATAGTCTTCATCAATAAATGTCCAACACTAAAATAATTTCCAAAATTAGATCAGTAGTACCGAAGATTACCCGAACATCCAAACTTACAAACTACCCCATTATAGAAGTAGATCCTTCTCAATATTTATTACGATTCTTATAGAATCTGGAAACTAATCACCTTCTATTTGTTATATAGTCTTTATTAATCTCAAATCTTTATCGGATATACCTGATAGCTTTATTATACCATCAATATCGCATGATAGGTTCCAGCCTATCACTGCTCCCACAACTGCACTATATCTGTCTCTTTTATCGTATACCTTGTAATATTATTTAACCTTCAAAATTCAAAATATCTTTATTCATGTAGATCTACTACAAACTCTTATGATATGTCAATTCTACCATCAGTTCGGAATGATTTCGAGATGAGAGACTAACAAGAAACTCAGCTCGTTCTTTTCTATTAAATGTCATAGATGTTTATAATAATACAGATTCATTTTTAAATTCAAACTTGGGCGAATAGAGTGACCAACTCTACGACCAACCAAGTCTCGTCCTGTATTAATACCTACAATGACAATTATCACCTGTTCAGGATAATCCTGTGCATTCGAAACTGCCTCCGAAAAATGGACATTTGCCTCTGGTGACACAGCAGATGCTACAGACCACGCGAGCTAAACTGGGCCGCGCCAAGCCTGTAGCCGCTTCAACACCTAAACAACAATTGTTGTTGTCAGAGTTAGAAAAGTGAGTGTGATGTTTATGAAATTCTCTCTAAAAAATTTTTCTACAACAACAATTATTATTGTCGGAGTTAGAAAAGTGAGTGTGATGTTTATGAAATTCTCTCTAAAAATTTTTTCTACAACAACAACAATTATTGTTGTCGGAGTTAGAAAAGTGAGTGTCATGTTCATGAAATTCTCTCTAAAAGAAATTCTACGTTTCTTTTTAACGAGGAGAAAATCGATCTCCAAGATCGGTCGCCTTAAGAGTGGGAGGAACGGGTACTTCTAAACTCTTATCGACCAAAACTTGCCATGGTATTCCTCTTTTCTGACATAACGCCGGGCAAAGGATTTGTTTTTGCATCTATCATAATCAGATTTATATTATAAAACCCTTCTTCATTGCATTGCTTGCTTGATAATGGTTCATAAATCATTTCGTTCTCGCTGATCCGTGATACAACATTTAAACATTATAAAATCGTTTAAGGTATGCTTGTATCTTAACTGCAAGGAGTAACTCAAAGTCAATTGTACCAATAGGATACTAACATCCTATTGGTACAGTTGACATGGGCCATATAATTTTATATGAGTATAAAATAAGTATTTCCCTTTCTAGATGCTTACTACAGGAGACGTCAGTTGCGTCCCTGTATAGGCGACGAGTCGCGAGAAATTCGGTCCGCAGCACTGAGGAGCTTCGACCAAGGCCATACCCGACTGCGCGTTGTCCACGCTCCCCACGTTCGCCACATTCGCCACGCTCCAGCTCTCTACCTCGTCCAGGAACTCTTGTATCACCCTTGAAATTTCCTAATATATCATTAACTAATATAACTTAAAAAACTGCGAGTTTAGCTTAATTATTTTAGTATTGTTCAACGAACATCTCAATTGCAACTAATGTATTGGTTACAAGTTGTAAGATCTGATTTTTGATATTTTTTATGATGGATTGGTATCATAATGTATTTTTTAATTATTCATATATTATAATACTCATAATATTATATTATTATGTAACTTCATCATATTTATAATTTGATTATGCCTATTTATGTGCAATGTTGCGTTAAGCAAATACTTAATTTAAAAAAAAACATGTAATAGCAACAGCTTTACAACTTAAAAAGTAATTAATTTACTAATAAATAATGATATTCATTTTCAAATTAATTTTAATTAAATTACAAAAGGTATCTCTAATTCTGCTACCTGATATATTACTATAGAACTGCGAATAGAATGTATACAATTTCGAACAGATGTAAATTTCTTATATCTGTTCGAAATTGTATACTCAATAGATATTGAAAACAATCTTTTATAGATATGTATCATATTTATGACATTATTTGTATAATGTAATTCTCTAATGATAATAAATGATTTAAATAGAAATGTTGAATTCATTCTTTAGAAATACAACAATTAATCGATATTTTAAAGTGAGATAATAGGATTATTAACAATGGGAATAGTGATCCCAATTACTAGCAATGTACAATATCAATTCAGACTCCGTGCTGCTTACTCTGGAAACCATAGATAATATCCTATACATATATACCGCCATCGGTAGCGCAGTGAGTGCACCATCTCATTATTATGCTTTAAAAAAGCTGGTATTATTTTATATATACATAAAAGAAAAAATTTACCACTTTGATGTATGTCGGTCAACAGCTAATAATCATTAACACTGAGAGGGCCAGACATACAATTAAATTTAAAATGTATGCATATTTTAAATTCAACGCAGTAAAAAAACAACAGAATTTGTAATAATCTAATTTTGAAATATGTTATTCTGGTTAACAATAATAGTAATTGCATAACCTATTAACCATATGGCTGTATAGACATATGTTCTGTTGTCGCATAGTTCGTAGCAAGAAATATAAACCTACCAAAAAGTTACAGGACTGACGGATTGATGACATGTCGACTGACGCTAATGGTGACGTTTCGGCCTTTCACCCCGGCTCTTGTGTCGTCTTGTCATCCCTCCCCTTCTGTCTTTCCTCTTTCCGAAATTTACCATGGCGGACGGGGTGGGTAAAATTTATCAATTTATATCTTGTTAATCAAAAATTTTATTTTATCAGTGACACATGAGTTTATACCCTTAATACATATACTAACTCTGTATATCTTTATTTTTAAAGGTACTTTACACTTATCCGGAAAATTTCCGAGCCTACAAGGCGTTGATCGCCGCACAATACTCGGGAGCGAAAGTCAAAGTAGCCCCTAATTTTGTGTTCGGCGAAACTAACAAATCAGAAGAGTTTCTGAAGAAGTTCCCCGCCGGTAAAGTGAGTGTGTTGCACAGTGACTTACTTTCAGTGTTATCGGAATACAATCTTGCATATGTTAGTGAAGGTGACGTGTATTATTTGTGATTTATAGGTGCCAGCGTTTGAAAGTGCCGACGGAAAGGTCCTGCTGACCGAGAGCAATGCCATCGCTTATTTCGGTAAGTACCGCCTACATAAATTTATCCTTTTCGCCTAATAACCTACAAACTCCGAACAGTAACCGTTTTAGTACTAATGACGAAACTATGTAACAACCACTTAATTCTTGTAACACTTGATAAGCTATATAATATTTTTATAAGCCTCGTTTAATATTGTCTAAAAAATTACCAATATTAATTCGTCCAGTGTTCTTTGAACTCAGCTAAATATTTTCTAACCAATACATCTGTTCTTTAACGATCTGTCAGCATAGATAGGCCAATACAGTTTTTAACTATACAATACTGAATAAATAAGCTGTTACTATATCATTTAATGACTGCAGTGTTGTCTTTATTGGCTATAAAACCAACCAACTTGTCTATGATTTTACAGTTTTATGTCATATTGTAATCAAGAAAAAAGCCTGAATGCACTAACACTATAAATTACAATCTAATCAATCAAGAAAACAGCTTGGAATTGGTAATACACTAACAGATTATAAAAGAAACAGTATCTGTAGTCAACCTTGACATTGGCAAAGTCATGAAAAGCCCAATGAAGCCATAAAATTAAAAAATATAGTCTGAAATATATTTCTCTTATTTTAATTACAGTTTTAAAAGTCAAAGGCATTCAATCTCAATAATAATTTTAGCTTATTATACTCATACATTTATTTATAACTATTTTTTACTATTTCACTTGAAGTCTTTATTTATAGATATAATGTATTAATTTCTACTAATAATGTCTGCAACTAAATATATATTTATATATAGTGTTAATAGATGGAAACACAATTGGAACCTTGAAAAACCCAATTTTACAAAACCTCTTTCAGATTTCTTCTCATAACTTAAAAATATTATTTCTATTGAGATAGAAAGTTGTAAATTGTTATATATTTAACCAATTTACAGCTTTTTAAATTGAATTTTGGCTCTGGTGTAAAGCTGGCATTCTTCAGTTGTGACTATTCCACTTTGTGCTGTTGATATATAAAAATTAAATTACGTTTGTCAGTGTTACTCTTGTGGAACCGTCCCACAACAAATCTGTTCAAGTAAAAAAAATTGTTAGTCTCACTAAAACTAGAGGATGACTGGAGCTATTTGGCTAATTTTTGTATTGAAACAGTCTAAGGAAAGATTAAAATGTGAGACAATATGAAGAAATTGCAAAGAAACATTATTTATATGGCAGAACTATGTGTTTTTAGGAAGGAATTAACAATTTTTTTTAAATTTTATTTTGGTTCAAACAGTTATGACAGTAATGACACTGTCATAATTATTATTATGCTGTACTATATAAAAATTATGTGTCATGTTGTTTGTCCATGGGCTCCTAAACTACTGTACTGATTGCAAATTTGATTTGCACTTTCTGTACAATTTGATCCAACTTGAAAGATAGGATAAGTTACATCTTAATTTATAGTCCCAATATTATTTTATTGCAAATTATTTGTCTATAATTAGCAACAGCTATGCTGGCCGGGACTGCTAGTAGTGTACTAAAGTGAAGAACTATTCTTATTATTTATTAATACAAAACTTTGTCTAATTGTTCAGTTATACAATTACTTTAAATCGCTAATAGAGAGAATAAGCTACAACATCTATAACTTGAGTAATCAAGTTTGCAGAAAAAGGATTCAAATGTCATATAAAATACTTTCTTTGTAAAAAGAAAGCTTGTTATAAAATTGTTATAAGATTGAGTGTGTAGTGGTTTTTATATTTATTGTCATGTGCTTAATCCTTATGTGATGTATTTACTTAGAACAACATTTATTTAAAAAGCAACGTGCAAGTTTGTGTTTCAAATGAGTGGTAGCATAAAAAAAATTATATGACAATTCAAAAGATTAATTATTTTTCTATTTCTTCAAAGGTGCTGTAGATATATAAGTATTAAGTGTAAATTTAGATTCCTATGCATTCATGAATTGTCCATAATTAATTTGTATTATTGTACAGTTGCAAATGCAGCCCTCCGTGGAAATGATCTGCAAACACAGGCACAGGTTTGGCAGTGGGCGTCATGGGCAGACAGCGAGCTCCTGCCGGCTTCCTGCGCTTGGGTGTTCCCATATCTTGGCATCATGCAGTTCAACAAACAGGTATTTACTTTAGAACCATTATTTCCCCATTTTAATCAGTTACAAGACTATAAGTAGATGTCCCTAGTGCTGCTTGATGTGTAGGCGAAGAGGCCTTATGGATAATAATTGAATGGTGCACCAACCTGCGCCAACGTTTACGCTGGTGCGGCGCCAGTAGAGGATGATAAGACGAGGATTAAGTCATGTCATTTAACCCATCTTAGTAAACTTATCATGAATTTAACACGATGGTTTCCAGGGGGAATATGTGGAGCTCAATCTAACATGTACTAGACTGGGCGGAAGGGGATTGTTAGTAAAGAGGAATGTTGACCCCATTGCTAGCAATGTACCATGTCAGGTTGACCTCCACGCGGTTCCCCTTGGAAAACATCGTGATAAATTCCTGGTGAATTTGTTACGATCTTATCATCCTCCACTGGCGCCACGCTAGCGTAAACCGTTAGCGCAGGTGGACGCACAATTCCATTATCATGCATAAAAAAACTACTACTAGACTGACATACATTGTTATGGCAATGCATGAGTGTGTATATAAGCAACTATTACCGCTTGTCATTAGGTTGCCATTCCAGTTGTGTTCAAAAATCGTTTTGGTATTGCTAATTTGAATGTATGTTTATGTATACAGAATGTAGAACGTGCGAAGTCAGATCTGCTGGCGGCGCTGCAAGTTCTCGACTCGTACCTCCTAACGCGCACGTACCTGGTGACCGAACGAGTCACACTCGCTGATATTGTTGTCTTCACCACGCTGCTACATGCATTCCAGGTTTGAATCTGCACCTTTTTTGTACTGAACTACTTTCTACGAACTGGATGGTAGGGTACAAAATATTAATATAAAAAAAATATGTTCATAAGCGGCCTAAGCGACTGAGAGGCATGCACTCATGCCTCGCAGTCAGTACTTTAGAGGAAAATAGTGAACCTTTGAATGACTGAGAGGCATGATTCCACTACTAATCATCTTTACGTAGAATAAAGTGAAGCCACTTCGGCTGTCTGCTAAGATCTTTTAAACTACGCAACGGATATTAATGCATTTTATTTAGCAATTGATAGTGATTCCAGTTGAAGCTTTATATGTATAACACACGTACAGTCCGTGTGAAGCCGGGGCGGGTAGCTAATCTACCAAATAATTGTTATAAAACTGGTCAATAAGCCAATGTTATGACAGCATGTCCTGGAGCCATCGCTGCGTAGTTCTCTGCCGAACGTGTCGCGCTGGTTCCTCACGCTGCAGAACCAGCCCTCCGTCCTCGCGGTACTGCCTGCAGCGCCGCTCTGCGCAGCCGCACCTGTCCTACCCAAATTCCAGCCGCAAGACAACAAGAAGGTAAGCAAACAGCAATGTAATATGTGGGGAAGGCGATAGTTAGTAATGTCGATTAACGGTCCATTGCTAGCAATGTATCATCTTAAGATGACCTTCGGTTCTCCCTGGAAACCATTGTGATAAATTCCTGGCGTATTTTTCACAATTTTAGTCCACATAATATGGACACGGGTACAACTTGATTCACTCCGCAATTTAGGTATATACATGATGATCCCCACTTAGCATGAGGTGACCTATCAGCTTATATACAATTGCTGATATATGAATAATATGTTAAAATTAGACTTAATGTATGTGACTTAGTATTTTTGGTTCGGAAACTATTGTCCCCATTGCTAGCAATGTTTTATATACAATTGCTGATATATGTTTTTATTATAATATTTTTGCTATTCTATTCTACTTTTAAAATATCTTCGAAGAAATAATTTGATTACAATTGATAAAAGATAACTATCAACAGATAGGTATGAGTAATAATTTGGGTGAAATAATTTATAGTGAAAACAATTTAATTTATAACATAACGATACTAGACAGAGCTTGAATTATTTTCAAATTATAATTTATTAAATATTTAAAAGTTAAAACACTGTTAAAGTTAACAATTAACCCTTTCATATAACGTAAAATATTGCACAAGTATTACAGGGATTTGCCACATATCAAGATATAGACACTTCAATAACTTTCATTAGACTTCAAGAATATTATGTCAAGAAATATTACATAATTGATTTCAGGATACCAAGAAGGACAAAAAGAGTGAAAAGAAAGAACAGCAACCCAAAAAGAAGGAGGAACCCAAACCCGATCTAGACGAGGAGTTTGAAGAAAAACCTAAAGAGTCCAAGGACCCATTTGACACAATGCCTAAAGGGTAAGCATACTATATGTTTGTTAACTAACTAATAGTGTAATTATATTTTTTTTTTTATGCCATGCAAGGTAATGGCCCTCCATCACCTTTTATGAAAACTGGTAGCTGGTAACTTTTTGTCTCCATCAGATCGTAGTAAGACTTACTTTACCAGACCAAAAAGTTGGCCGCGAGACTACCTTAGTCTAACCTAATTCCTAAAACCTTCACAGTCTCTGTGGTCTAGCGGTTTAGCACACCGCTTTACTCCCATGGTCGCGGGTTCTACTTCACGGGTTGTATTCCTGAGTATGATTGTTTGTATCGATCTGGTTGTTTTCTATGTAATTTTTTTTTTTTTATGATAATCAAATGGTGCACCTGTCTGCGATAACAGTTTACACTGGCCGGGCACTGGTGTAGGTTGATAAGATGAGCATGAGGTCAGGTGGGTTAGCCCATCGTGACAAATTCAACAAGAATTTATCGTGATGATTTCCAGGGGGGGGGAACCGTGTGGAAGTCAACCTGTCTGTGAGAATATATTTAATTTTATATATTTAAGATTTTATTATATCAGTTGTCAAGTACCAATAGCAAGTTTTGCTTATATTGGGGCTAGACGGCGCTATATGAATTATTCAGGGACATTAATATTATTCTTATATTTACAGAACATTCAACATGGATGACTTCAAACGCTGTTACTCAAATGAGGATGAGGCTAAATCAATTCCTTACTTCTGGGAAAAGTTTGACCCACAGAATTACTCCATCTGGTATGCTGAGTACAAGTACCCTGAGGAGCTCGCTAAAGTGTTCATGAGCTGTAATCTGATTACAGGTATGTTCATTTACTTTTAGATTTATTTAAATGTTACTAAATTCGACCATAATTCATTTAACATTCAGTAAGGCTAGAAAAAATAATAAAAATGCAAACAATATTAATCTATTCTCAATTTGACCACAGAGTAACAACAAACCATAGAGTGTACATGCCTGTGTATGTCAAGTACATGATTTATTTAGTTTATTTTATGTCTTAAATTGTTGAAATAATGTAGTCGTGCAGTGCAAAGTTCGTGCAAGTTTCTTAATATTTCCTGAAGAGGCAGCTATAGATTAGTTAGTCAATTTATTGTGAATACTTTTGTGGTTGAACAGGCATGTTCCAGCGGCTAGATAAGATGCGCAAGCAGGCGTTCTCGTCGGTGTGCCTGTTCGGAACTGACGGCGACTCCACCATCTCGGGCGTGTGGGTGTGGCGCGGACACGAACTCGCGTTCCCGCTCTCGCCCGACTGGCAGATCGATTACGAATCGTATGACTGGAAGAAGCTGGACCCAGCCAACGAGGAGACGAAGAAACTGGTACAGCAATACTTCTCGTGGACTGGTACCGACAAACAAGGCCGCAAATTCAACCAAGGCAAGATCTTCAAATGAAGAACAGAGCGGCCTCTAGTTCCGCACCTGGTACCGTTGCGCTCGTTGCACTTGTGTAACAGTATCGTGTGCCACTCATTTAATGGTGACGACTTAACTCTAAGAGCGAACAGTGTCTTATAAAACACATGTATTTGCATTTATTTTCGACGTCCCTCGATACAGATCAATATTAATTACATTTTTACCTGGAAGCCAGCTTTGTAATAAAATTGTTTTTATTTATAAATAAACAACTTTCATTTCTGATTTATAGATTTTATGCCAGTTTCCCTTATGCCACCAAAATTGTTATATGATTAAAATATTAATAATTGGTCACATTAAGTCAGATATTAAGTAATGGCTCACAACCTGAATAAATTATTGTAGTTATTTGCTTTTAATTTTGATAACTCACAAATAGCAATCGTAGACATGCCCATATTACTGAATTTGAATGGGAGTAAATTAAACAACAAATTGGAAAGCAAAAATTTATATATTTCATGTTTCAGACTTTTGCCTAAACTGATAGATTTGTATAACAGTATTATATACGTTCTTATATATTATTGCGTTCATGAAATCAACTAATCACAAGAATCGCTAAAGCAAATTGTAGCGACAGACGTAGACACAGAAGTCAACAAGCGGTATCGTTTTACATTATTTAGATATAAATATATACTGTCCTGTAGCGATACACTGAAAATATTAAAGTGAAAACATCGAGACAATCCATAATAAAGGGCAAATGCATTTTGTTGCGTTAAGTTGCGTACAGTGGACTCGCGTCGCGTATATAACGCATTCAAACCTAAGTTTTCTATCGAATCATGTTTTAGTTTACAATAGACAAGAGAAATCTGACAAACTGATTTTGTAATTGAACGGCAGGTGGATGAAGTGAGTGCAGTTAAATATATTTGTTACTCAGTTCGCATAAAGGGATAAATGACACTTTTTTTTTTCGAACATTATCATAGTTAACATTTCATAATTGCAACATATATAGTGCTTAATTGTTTAGCAATAAAACTTTTATTGTTGTACACATAAAGTTCAATATCATTCAACTGCTTATTCCATTATATGGGTCCATTATAAAACCACTTGGACGGTAATTCTATCTCTATAATGCTATGGTTTATTTTAGATTGCACTCGTTGCGTCCACCTGCGTTTTAAGTTAAACTAAATTTCTAGATGGTTCTAGAACTTTCTTTGTAGTATAAGTCGCGACGCACGTCCACTACGACAGACGCTAGGTTACTATCTAAGTACACTATACAACACTACTGTTGGGAGTTGCACAGTTGTAGATTCGTGCTGTGTCAACGATTACGAATAACTTGCATATTAATTTTACCTTTTATATAGATAATCATAAAACCATTGCGTTACTAAATATTGCCTTTTATATCTTTATCGTAAACGACGAGGAATAACAACTAATTTATAACATTTTAGAATTGTATAGTAATTATAACAAACGCAAAACGTGATTTATTAACTAGAAACTTTTGAGTAGTAGTAGTAGTGGTATATTTTATCCACAAGTGGATAGGCAAAGGTACGAGACCATACAGCCTAATCTTCAGTAGTATTTCCATGAAATTCAAAAATTCTTCAAGGCGATATCGCCAAATCTTTTCATTAATTATAAGTTTGTGTTAAGTCCTTGTAAGTGTCCATAATTGAAATGTTTATAATTCTCCGATAGTTGCTATGATAAAGTCGTAAATAGGTTTAAAAGTTGCAGTGCATTTGAATAGTTCTTGAAGCGATGGCGGAATAATCTTATATAGTTCTTGAAGCTTGGCAATGAGCAAAATTCTGTTTAAATTGAAGGCCGGGCAATAAAAAAATATATGTTCTAATGTTTGATTTTCGTTACTAGAGCATAAAAGACAAATCGGAGAATTAATGATCTTCATTCGGTGTAAATGTGCATTGAATTTACAATGTCCAAATCGCAGTCGACAAATTTGAGTATAAAATCTTCTCTCTAAAAATATTTTTCCCTGAATGAACCAGGGTTTTTTGCCAATAGTACTGTTTATACCTGCATACCAAGTACCTTTATCTTTGGTAGTACATTTCCAATCTTCATCCCAATTTTTTAATAAGTTTTTCCTAATTTCAGGAATTAAATCTTGCCAAGGTAAGAAAATTTTTTTAGACTCGCCACCCAATCTATTGACAGTTTTGACAAGGTAATCTACTTCATTACCTGTCACATCTTTGTGTGCCGGTATCCAAGTAAATATAATTTCTTTTCCTTTATTAAACAAAACAGTCCATAGTTCTTTAATTTGGTAAATAATATAGCTTGTTTTGGCACTAAATGAATGATTTTGCAACGCTGATAAGACTGACATGCTGTCACTAATGATAAGCCACTGATTATGAGGTTTAGCGCATATGTCTTCGTTAATATAATGCAAAGCTTGCAAAATAGCCAAGGCTTCGGCAGTGAATATACTAGTAATGGTAGGTAATCGAAATCCATAACCAGTTTTTATGTCGCTATGGTAAAAACCTAATGACACACCTTGGTCATTTTTTGAACCATCTGTATATATTGTGTTAAATGAAGGCCATTGAGAAAGATGTTCATAAACTTCTTCTTTACATTTTAAGTTCTTATCTGTTTCTATTGTCATATTGCAAAATTTACTGTCATATGTCCCTTCATAACATGCCCACTTATTATTTGCCACATGAATATTATTTTGCTCAATTATAGATTTCATTGCAGAGAAATCAAGGAGAATGTATGGAAATTTTATGGAATTAGAAGAAGAAGCAATGGTTTGAGAATCTGTAATTTTTTGTAACAGTGAATTATTGGAAAAGCTATGTAATTTTAGCAAGAATTTAAATTTAAGAAATTTGAATCTTAATGACAGAGGTGGAATGTTGCATTCTACTTGGAGAGAGACTATTGGAGTTGTTTTCATTGCACCAGTGATTAGACGCAAATTATTATTTTGGATTGTCTCTAATTTTTTTAAGAGTGTGGGGTTGGAAGCAAAGCAAAGGTAACTGTACTCAAAGTGAGAACGGACTATGGATTTGTACAACATAAGTAAAATCTTTGGATCAGCCCCCCAAAATGTTTTGGAAAGGCATTTTAAAATATTAAAAGCTCTAGAAGCTTTATCAGATATATTACAGACATGCTTATTCCAAGATAGATTTTTTGTTAATGTTACACCAAGAAACTTGGCTTCAGCTACTACAGGCAGTATGCTACCATTATAATTAATATTAGCATGCAAAGTTCTTGATCTACTGAACTGAAATAACAACTTTAGTTTTATCTAAACTAATATCTAATTGTAAATATTTAAAATAAACTTTTAATTTCTTTAAAGCTTTGTTTATTTTATTTTCTACTATATGAATATTTGAGCCTGAACAGTAAACTGCTAAATCATCAGCAAACTGTAAATTGCTGACTTCATTACCAAGAATAATATTAATTTTATGAATATACAAAATAAATAACAGTGGACTCAATATTCCCCCTTGACATACACCTATATATGAAGATTGTGGACCATATAAATTATTATTGTACTTAACATAGACTTGTCTATTATGTAGGAAATTAAAAATCCAGTTAATCAACTTATCTGGTATTCCTAGTGTTTGCAGTTCATTAGTTAGAATATGATGATTAACATTGTTAAAAGCACCAACTATATCAAAGAAGACAGAAACCAGTATATTGTTACTAGAAAAAGCACGATGAATATCTAGGTTTAAATGATTTAAGCTCTCTGTAGCTGAAAAACCTTTCCTGAAGCCAAACTGATTTGAAGGTAATAACTTATTTGATTCTATATAAAATTCTAACCTTTGTTTAATCATTTGTTCGAAAAGTTTACTCATACAAGATGTTAATGCTATGGGTCTATAGGAGTCTGAATGATTTATCAATTTGCCTGGTTTAAGAATAGGAATCAGACAATCTGTTTTCCAATCGGGTGGTATTTCTGAAGTATTCCAAAGAGAGTTAAGTAACATTAACAAAGTGTTTTTAGAATTGGGTGATAATGTCTTTAACATTTTGTAAGAGATATTGTCAAGACCAAAAGCTGTGTTACGTCTGCTGTTTAAGGCACTGTAAAATTCTGTTATAGTAAAAGGGTTTATAATGAAGCTGTTATTATTATTTAATGATACCTGTATGTTGGGTCTACTTTTGGCTGGCGGTTTGGATGTAAATTTACTTAAGAAAGGAGAAATCCAATCAGTGTCTGAAGATATAAGTGAACAGTTGTTATTAAATGTTTTATTAAATTTTTTCATTTTATTCCAGATAACTGATAGAGGAGTTTGCCGATTAATCGACTCACAGAATTTTATCCAGCTGGCATTTCTTTCGTTTTTGAGAGTAGGTTTTTTGATTGCCTGTTGTCTTTTAAATCTTATGTAATTTTCTTGAGTGGGATTATTTTTAAAATCTATGTAAGTTTTCTTACATAATTCTATTGCTTGAGAACAAGTATTGTTCCACCATGGCAAAGTAAGTCTTGCCTTGTCATTACTGACTAAAGAATGTTTTAAATTTCCATGTGAATTATTAGCTGTGTTAATGCTTTCTATTAAAATATTGCACATTTGTTTATAGGAGTCTAAAGGGGTGGAAGGATCGTAATTAAATTCATTACATAATTTATTATCAACAGTCTCTTGGTATACAAGCCAGTTTACATTATTGTAATTTGGCCTAAAAAAATTACTATGATTAATGGAAATGTTATTTGCATTTACAGTGTTACATAAAAGGTGGGTGATGGTTGGAAGATGATAGCTCCCTAAAGGATTATCATGTACAGACCAATTGCATCGGAGTGACAGAGAGGCAGAAACAATTGTAAGATCCAGAGCACTTGGACTCCATATATCAGAGCCTACAGTAGTGGGTTGACCATTATTAATTATACAAAGATCATTGTCTTCAATAGTATTAAGAAGAATAGTGCCTCTAGAATCGGTTCTAGAGCAACCCCAAGTGGTATTGTGGGCGTTAAAGTCACCAGCTATTATCATAGGTGATGGGATAGATTTAAATAAGTTATCTAAATGTAAATGTGTAAAGTTACGTGACATTGCGGATGTAGGGCTGTAAAAACTAACAAAAGAAATTGTTTCATTTTTCAAATATAATTTTAAAGCGATATTTTGCAAAGAATCATCGTGATATGTATTTAATCTGTTATAATTCAATTTGTTTTGTATTAGAATGGCTACACCATTATGATTATTACCAATGTCTAATCTTTCTATATTATAACCTTTGATATTAAAGTTTTTGAAAGGCTTTAGCCAAGTTTCAGAAAGAAGGGCGATATGTATATTGTTGTTATATAAAAAATAAGTAAAAGCAAGTCTATTATTTATTAAGCTCTGGGCATTCCACTCGATAATATTTAAAATATTATCCATTAAAGAGATACTATTAATTAGTGTTAGTACTGGAAATCTTAAAAGTATCTAAAATTATGTTTTTTATGCCTTCTGAGTTTAAGGGAGAGTCATCTGTTTTATTAACAGAAATAATTTTAATAACTGATGCAATGATTAATTTTAAAAAGTCATTATTTTGCAATAATGTGTTAATATTGTCAGTAGGTTTAGTTTTAGTGTTTAAAGATGGAAAAGATTTTTCATTAAATAAACTAGAGAAAGGAACAGTAATGTGTTTTATTTTGTTTTCTTGTATTTTCTTCTTTTTAATTGGGCATTCAGCTGAGATAGCTATATGGTTACCATTACAGTGAAGACATACAGCTTCTGTGCTATTTTTAGTGCTATCTTTAAAATGATGGTTTTCTCCACATATTGAGCAACGTTGAGTATTTTTGCAAAATTTACCAATGTGGCCATATCTCAGGCACTTTAAACATTGTGTTACTGGTGGGGTGTAAGCGCTTACCTCGAAATACCATGAATTGATATCGACATTCGTAGGGAGTGTGGGACAGGCAAAGGTAATGGCGACTGATTGGGTGGGCAGAAAACTTGTGTTACCATCTTCATCACGACTTCTTCGCATAAACCGACGCACCGAGACGACGTCTCTGGAGCTGGAAATACCATTGTAAATACTTTTGTTTGACATGTATATAGGTACGTTTTTTATGACCCCTGTTATTTCCGTTAATGTTGCAGGTATTGTGGCTTTAACATGTAAATCTTTTTGTACTTTGGTGTTATTTAATGCTATGTTGGCTAAACCTGGCCTTTCAAAAATGGCTCCGACTTTATATTTATTAATTCTCTTGAAAATTTATACCCTTGTTTTGGCGCTTAAGACAGGCGCCAAGGGACATAAGGTCTCTGTCGCCTAAAGGCCTCGTATCGGTACTTTCATAAATAACTATATATTCAAAATTTCCTCCATCCTCAGGATATTGGCGACAGTAATTATCGATTTTAAAAACTTTATACTTATCCTCATCCAGTGAGGAGTCAGAATCTGGACTGTCGACATCCCTGGAATTTTCTGGGGAGCAATTATCATCGGCTTTGCGCTTTTTGCGCTTACTTCCCATTTTGGGACTGTAATTAACTACAAATTATGTTAGTTGTACCTATATATACAAATTATTGAATATAAATAAAATATAAAATAAAGGAAAAATATTTAAAACACCCGCTCTATTTGACTTCCCGCCAAAAAGTCCCGAGTGACAGCAGTCATTTCGGTGTCAAAATTCTAACGTTTTAGAACCAGTAAAAAATCCATAAATAATTTCACATTTAATATTGCTCTATGGTTTCCAAAACAACACATTCAAACATATGTGGGTATTTCAAAACTATACAACTTAGAATAGTATACACAGAGGGTATTTTGTTAATAAAATATGAAATATCATTGTTTTAGTAACTACATGAAGGATTTTTGTATTTGACTCAGTCTCATTGGTACCTGTGATTGTAACTGGCAAAAAATACTTGACGATGGACAGAACGAAGAAAAACGAAATTGCTATTGACACAAGTGACGATCTTGGTGACGATACGGAAAACTCGAATAATTCCGTTGAAGCTGTAAGGGATTGTTCAGTACGAGACAAAATAAATTTATCCTGGGAATCCAACTACTATGATTCTTTTCATAATAAACATAAGGACGGTATTACAACGCCACCATTCGTAAGCATTATGATAACTAGCAGTCAAGATGATGTTGATACGTCACAAAATGAAACTGGGATATCAACTGCACAGCCAATCAATTGCACAGAGGATACGAGTTTATCTTTTTTTAAAGAGTTTACTCAAGATAGTACGTCGAATGAAGGGTCGGAGAGATCTGTCGTCTATAAACGCAACCGTCGGCACTCGAGCGATGCAGACATTAATAGGCCTTGGAAAATAACAAAATGTACTAGGTCTAGTACTACCACTTCATCCGAGTCGTCAGAGCCTAAAGTCACCACCGAACAGTCTGCTTCATCGACCCAATTGTCCAGTGGTTCTGACGTATCATTTAAGTCTATACAAAGTAGTCCTTCCTTCAAAGTGAGGAAGAGACGATTGAAATCAGAATCCAGCTTGTTTAGAGATGCGTTGCAGAGATCTAGGAAGCCTTATCGTAAAGCAAATCAATCTGGACATAATTCTCAAGGTAATTACGTTTAAAGTATTTTGTTAGTTTGTAAATTGGTGAATTGAATTTAAATTTTCTCTAGTACAAGTTTTATAGTATAGGAGGAAATAGAAATAGAAATAGAAATAATCTTTATTCAAATAAACTCATTACAAGCACTTTTGAATAGTCATATTTTGATTCTACCACTCGTTCGGAATGCAGATTCATCACAAGAAGAACGAGCAAGAAGCTTGTGTGTTGCTCTTTTTAATAGATGTTTTTTTTTATATGCAAAGAGGCAAACGTGTTTGCGGCATACCTAATGGTAAGTGATTACCGCTGGCTTATTTGTTTTATCCGTTTTCACATTCACATTTCCAATATTAGTGTTTTAACTATAGTGTTAGTAAATAGCAAAAGCAGATTTTTTTGGACAATTGACACAGCGCTATCTAGTCCCACAGTAAACAGAGCTTCTGTTGGTAATAATGGGATAACTGATATAGATACATAGATACTTTTTTTTGTAAATTAAAACGCAATATACATACATAGAATCCACTCAGACAGATACAAACAGTCATACTCATGAATACAAATGTTTGCACCGTGCGAGGAATCGAACCTGCGACCAGCGGAAGTGAAGTGGCGTGCTAATCCGCTGGACCACCGAGGTCGTCATGTCAGATTTATCCGTTCTTTTTATCTGAATTTACATTGCGAACGAGCGCCGGGCGGGTGATTAAAGAAATACTATTCAAACTTTGCTTATTAATTACATTTAGAAAAATCAATTTTTATTGCCGTTTATTAATATATACTAATCATAACTTACTTAGTTTTAAATCTCAAAAAAAGCAATTATATATTTACATCAAAACTTTTGTGTTGTGTACGTTGAAGTTAAATAAATAAATAATATTTGCGACCTCGGTGGTCTAGCGGTCTAGCACACCGCTTTACAACCGATGATCGCGGTTTCGATTCCTCGCACAGCACAAACATTTGTATTAATGAGTATGATTGTTTGTATCGGTCTGGGTGTTTTCTATGTATAATATGTATGTATTTACAAAAAAAAATATATCTATGTACATGTATCAGTTATCTAATACCCATAACACAAGCTTTAGCTAGCTTAACTTGGGTCTACATGTGGCTGTGTGAATTGTCCTGAGATTATTATTATTATTATTATTATTATATACAATATAAGTAAATCCTAAATATGAAATAGGTAGGTTTCTAAAGATCCAGTATAATTCTCAGTTTCCGGTTTTAGTGCTTACAAACTGGTTAGGTTACATTATTATTACAATGAACCTTGACAGTCTGACAAATATATCGATACAAATAATTCTTAACAAATTTGGGATCCCAGTTATAAATGATGTCACGGCATTTGTTTTGAACTAGCGCTTATCTGGAGTGATAACGTTTTACTATAAGGGGCCACCCATAAATTTGGTCATAAGATTTTCGTTATTTTTGACCCCTCCCCCATCCTTGTCACAGTTGTCACATTCACAACTTTTTTTTTAATTTATTTAATTCAGGCCACATAGCCCATATTATAAATACCTTATAGACTAACATACATAAGAAATAATAATAAAATTTAAATTCAAATTGTCTATGGTCACGGCACTGACGACGGCAATCTACGTCCGGCAATCCGATAGACCCTTCGGCCAGCAGTCCTCCTTCATAAAGGTGGGTAGTATGTAGGTGGGGACCAGGGCCACGACCGGTTTGAACCACGTTGTGACTCAATTCCAGCTGCGTAACCTCAATGCCAGGCTACTTTTGGTCCGGATATAGTCCACAATGTCCTGTTCCATAAGACACACCAACCCCCTAGTGTGGGGTCACATATTTTGAACATTTTCTTCTTTATGTGTGGTCTCCTACTGGAGGTTGACAATGATAGCGATCTTGACTTTGCCCACCGCTGTTCTGAACAGGGATCTGGTGTTAATGCCTTAACTATTGTCTTAAGTTCTGTAGTTCGTTCTCCATGACGTTTGCCGCTGGCAAGTCTTCCTCGGCCCTAGATTTTTCCTTGAATCAATAATTGCAAAAGACCATATGTTTATTCCGCATTATACGTCCATGGTACTGCAACTTCTTACGCTTTATAGTCAATCAAATCAAATCAAAGTATCTTTATTCATGTAGGTCAATTACTATTACTCTTATGATATGTCAAATCTACCGTCAGTTCAGAATACTTTCGAGATGAAAAGAACTGAAAAGAAACTCAGCTCGTATTCTTTTCAAATATGGTTGTACATGTCTACAATAATGCAGATTCATTTTTGAATTGATATTTGGGATAATATAATGACCACCAGAGTATGCTACTACAATTTTGTCAGAGGCAAATAGTCTAATCAGTGTACGTAACCTGAACAGACCGGTTCCCACAAGCGTGCCTTTTATTTTCAACACTTGAAATAATTTATTTTAAATTTGAACTATTTAATACTTAGAAATGTTCTGTCACAACATAGAACCACTCACTTCTCTCGACTTGGCCTCCTTCGTCTCCCTTAACCGTGTAACCCCCCTTAACCGTATTTATGAATGGCCCCTAATGGTAAACATCATCTAGAGTGTGTGCCGGGATATTTAAGATTGGTGACATCATCTGATCATTGCCGTTGATACCCCTCGCCGCTCCATTCAAGTTTCCAACGGTCGCCATTTATAATTAATCAGTGATATGTCTTACAAGCGTATTGCTGCGTCTTAGGCAATATTAAATATGGACTCTAGTAATAAGAGGTTGACTATAGAAGTAGAAGTGGAGTGTGGTTTAGATATTAATTTGATAAGTGATATGGAATGGTTTGTGCTATCAGGAGGTACACCCAGGAAGGAGAGGAACGTAAGAAGAAACAGCAGGAGTTGGAAATTCGTGGACCTGTGTACATGGATCGGTAGGAAGGTACATAAATATTGAAGATTACTGACTGAATATTTAATATA